TATACCACATCTTCTTTATCCATTCATCTGTCGATGGACATCTTGCCTCTTTCCATAGTTTGGCTACTGTGGACATTGCTTCTGTAAACATCGGGGTGCACGTAGCCTTTCGGATCCCTACATTTGTATCTTTGGGGTAAATATCCAGTAGTGCAATTGCTGGGTCGTAGAAACGTCATAAACTCTTATTAATTCGAATAGATTTTTTTGGAGTGTCTTGAGATTTCTAGGTGTACAATTACATCACATACAAATAATTTTTAAATTTCACATGTATTACATATACATGATACATTTTACTTTCCTACATGACTATAACAACTACAGCTTCTAAAACAAAGTTTAATAATATCGTGATTACAGGCTTGCCTATCTTGCCTCTAATTGTAATAGAAATGATTCAACATGTCATGATTCATTGCGACACAGCTGCCTTTTGATAATTGGTTTTTATCATATGTAATTAGTTTCCTATTTATATTTTAATCCATTTTAAATTTAACTAGGAATGTCTGAAGAACTGTATCAAATATCTCCTTGGTATTTATGGAAGCAATCATATGGGTTTACTCCATTAATCAGTTCATGTAACTAATTATGTTAATAGAATAAACTCTGCTTTGTATTATACAGTTTGCTAACATTTTATTTAGACTTTTCCCCTCTGTACTTATAATAGGAATTGATCTAAGTAAAACTGAAAGTATTCTAAGTAATATATCAACTGGTCAGGGGTTTCATCTATTTCATTTCTCTGTTAAGATTATATATAATCAAATTACATATATATGTATTCAAATTTATTCAAATCATACATATATGTACATATGCATGTCCATATGCACAAAGACACATACTTTCTCCCTCATTTGTGTTTAATTGATTTTGGCTTTTTTTTAATTGGTTCACACTGCCTACATTTTTATTTTGTTTTCCTGTTGTTAATTTTTTAAACTGAATATTTATTTTAGGGGCACCAGGAAACCAAATGCTCTGCACAATCCCCCCCCCCGTTTTTTTAAAAATAGGTTCCATGCCCAGCATGCAGCCCATTACAGGACTAGAACTCCTGACCCTGAGATCATAACCTGAGCTGAAACCAAGAATCCCAGACATTTAACCGACTGAGCCATCCAGGTGCCCCTATAATATCAGTTTTATTTTCTTCTGGATATGAGGTTATTTGAAATGGTATATATTTATTTCTCAAGTTTCTATGATATTTTTCTTTCAGATTGTAATTCTGTATTTGGGATAAGAATATAGTCTGTAAAATCATC